AAAAGCATCAGAAATTTCTTGTGCAAAGCTGAACATCTATTCATACACCGTATCTTGACCAGTGTGAAGGAAACAAGTTTTGCCCCTGTACCCACATACATAGGAAGCAGTATAGAGAAATATTTGCATGACTGACACTCCAGAGCACAAGCCCCAGGGAAAGGTCTCTCCTCCCAAAGAGATTCCATCTAAGAGTTCCACAAGTCAGAAAAAAATATTAGAAAAAAATGAAACTGTGTCATTTCCAGCAGGCAGCTTTTAAGGTTTTGCATATTAAAATCTTAAAACGTACAATTCAAAGAGCCTCCTGACTAGAAACCTAACACAGAATGGAAAATATAAGCGACTTCAAAACATTTTTTCGTCTCCATTTCCAGTAGCTTGCTCCACTTTTTGTTTGGTAACAGTACTTGAGCTTACCTGGTTTAAGCAAAACCATGTAAAAAAGAGCACATTCTGCTTCCAAACAGCATTAATCAGCTGGAAAGTGGTAATCCACATGAATGAAATACTATCATTACCAATTTGCCAACCTACATGCATGAGGAAGATTTAAGGCTTCAGGCAGCAGATTCAGTACCATGCAAATTGGGAAGTGGTAGAAAGACATCACAATTGCTGGGACACTCCACTGTAAGAATTAAGCAAAACAGTTTCACCATGAAGAAAAAAGTGATAAAACTTGAGCAGAAATCAGAAGAGTTACTCTGTGTTCCTTGAGTTGGTTGATGGATTCTGACTCACACCTGTAGGAACGGATGAACAGGAGAAGAGAAAACAACTTTCATTCAAGTTTTATGAAAGAATAAAGATGATTGCCCTAGAGACTCAAAATAGAAAGAGATTGTACCATTCATATTTTAAATTCTAGGAAATTTCTGTTTTGTCTTCTCATTTCTACTATGATAAGAAAACTAAGTATAATCAGTCTTACACCACCACGTTGCAGGAACTTGAATTTCTTTTTACCCACTTATAGTTCACGCAGATCTCAACTGAGATGGCCGCCTGTGTTCCTCAAATACATTATCTCTGCAGGTTGTCCTGACGCAGCGGGGTCCCAAATTGTCAGCGGACCTCAAGGTCAGTACTGAGACCCTATTTCCCAGAAGTAATCTGAGAAACACTAAATAATGAAGAGAGGCATAATAAAAAGGAACCATGTACCCATCGGTATTTGGCTTCCAGAGGATGCAGACCATGTGAATATTCCACAGGCAAAGAAAACTCTCAGTACTGCTTCCCCTTTCCAGTCCACGTACACCGAGTTACAATACTCCAAGAGAGTTTCTGGGTTTCAGTTCAGTCAACTCACAGTCAGCTAGCTGCATGCTAGCAGAGGCATTAGGAACTTCATAGCAAAATGCACTATTTGCCTCCAAACCCAGATCAACCATGTTTTCTTCAAGTCCCAAGGTCTGTCGAATATTGTACAGGTTTCTGAAGTTTCGTAGCAGCAATATTAATAATCAAATGGCACAATCTGCTAAGGGAAATTGTGTCTGAAGGGCATGAAACGATTCACCATGACAGCTGCATTAAATAAACTGACAAAGAATATTTTTTCTTCTGGTAACAATAAATTTGTTTAGGTGGCAACAAGCTGTCCCACAGGCTGAATTACTTCACTCCTTTGAAAAGGATTCTCAGAGTGTTCCAATGATGTTGAGATCTTAAACTGGGAGAAAACCAATTTTGGCTGGCAAGGCCATGTTCTTCTCTGTCACTTAAAAACACAGTAATGACAGACTATTCTTCTGCAGGAATCATACTTTCTAATGTGACTTGCAAATCACAATTCTTCACAACTTTTAACTGCTCAACTGGATTAGATGCAGGCTTTTTGGGGATAGGTTAATGTATTTGTTTCAGTGTAATATTACAACAAGTTACTTTTCCAATTCAATCCTTCCATAAAAGCCACTACTGAAATCCTACTCAGGACCTCCACAGTATCTAAATGACTGTTCAGAGATTAAAAGGCTTCAGAAAATAGTTAATGCCTTACAAGCAGACAATAACAGGGATGTATTTTGTTTTCCAACAGACAAGCAAGGAACAATTAACGGACAGGGTTCACAAAGATGACTGAAGGAAATCCAAAAAATACCGAACCCAACCTGATGGGTGAAAAGAGAAACTCTTAACTTGTACCAACACCAATTCTTCCCTTCTGAAGACTGGGAACTAATAATGCAAGGTAAGTTGTTTATCTATGTTCATGTAAACATTTAAGAAAAAGAAAACCATGACATTTCCAGAACTGACATAATATTCTATGCTATATTTTCACTCTTTCATACCATAGTCAGACCACCATGTTTAATGAGCAATCCTACAGTAAAACACAAGGGGACTGAAGATGACAACTAAGCTCTATTCACGTAGCAGCAGCGTGTCTTAGGTTGCATATTCCCTTGCAAAAAACACATGTACTTCTACCATGACAGGTAGTTTCAATATTCTTAAGAAAAGCAGCTGGTCTCGAGAAAATCGAAGTGCCATAAGAAATTGTAATTCACAGAAAATACTGTTTTAACAGTCAACTTTGCTCAAGAGGCAGGAGCTCCGTTCTGCAGCAGCTGATGATTTTTTCGGAGTTGTATTTTTCAATGCGATGCACTCCACAGAAACAGTCCAACTCAGAGTTAGCACAATTGCACGCACGGTCAAAGATGGATCATTATCCAAGAGCACTGGATGCATATTTTCCTATTTAGCCATAAATGAAAGTGGGTATTCTTTCTGTTAAGCACTGTGAAAGATTCTACTGCCAATACCAGGGAGCAGAAGATGATTAAGAACTAAATCAGAGTCAAAACTTGGATGTTTCTGTAGTGAAGGGTTTTTCAGACAAAAGCAAAATTGCTAATCACCAACCCCTGACTATGAGCCAAGCATAGGACTACCTAGCTGTTCTCAGTTCTGTCAGAATCAGTGATGAATTTTTCCTTTTTGCTCAATTTCTTCATTCACGGAAGGACTAGAGTATGTAGAATCTGTTACGGGTTGTAGTTCTGGCATAAGTTATTTTATTTGAGAGCTGATTTCCATCAAGCAGATGAAGACTGACCTGCTAAACATTCAAACCAACTGAAACAAACGGCCAAGATTATGGAATGATATTTCTGTACTACAGAAATGGAAAAGTTCTGAACTTCAGGGAACCAGGGAAAACAACAACAACAACCATCCCAAGCCCTTCAGCCTGTTCTGATCAAACAGTCTGCAACGGTATGTTTTCATAATTGAAATTTTGCCCTAAACTTGAAGATTGATACATTTTCTCTCTGTTCTCAAACTATAACTTTATGTGCATTCTCTGCTCATCTCTCTCTTATTAAACATGCACCACAGAATAAAAAGTGTGACCCCTCTAGGTGTTACCTGCTAAAATAATTTTAAAAATTGTTAAAAACAGTAAACAATATGATCAGTTCTGTCACATGCTATCCATTTGCATGCTCCAGAAATATTATTTAGCATGCAAAGGAAAATGTTAGAAAAGGATCTGGTTCAGGCATATTACCAAAAATACAGACAAAACCATCATCAGTTCTTAAAAAGTCAAGAAACAGCATCAACTCGTAACAATGGTATGCCACAAGAACTCCAGTTTTGTGATGGACAACTGAGGATAGACTGAAACCCATTTTACACGTACCTGAGAGAGTAACTTCTTCAAAGCGAAGCTTACCTGATTTCCACAGCAATACACAATACTGATTTCTTGTTAACTATTAGTTTCCCTTTGTCAACAATTCTCAGTCAGAATTCAAAGAGTACTTAGCAACATTTAAAAAATAAAGTATGTATGCTACATAATAGTATCTGTACACAGAAAATGCATATTTATTACCTTCTATTTTAAAAACGCTGCATTCAGGGAGCTTGATTTTCTTGTACTAAACACATTCAGGGCATAACAGAAGCTCAGCTATTCCCCTTGTTTACCAAAGAACTTTCAATCATGCACCACAGACAAGGCTGAGAAACATCCAATAAACCAAAACATTAGAATGGCAAACAAAACCATCTATTAGCACCACAGGTCTCCTTTAACAGCACGAACTACCACCACACCAGAACTAGTTGATTTACCAACCTAGACGCAAACCACAACGTAATCACTCAGCAGAGCAACAAAGAATAGCAGAGAAGGAAATTCAGGACTTCATTTTCTTCCCTCATAAAGATCAGGAGAAAAAAATTCAATTTACCAGTAAAACCGCAGTTATTTTCAGATTTAAACACCTTGCCTGGTTACAGCATTGATAACACATGGCATTTGCTTCAAAACCCGACAGGACAAAAGAGTTTTCATCAGCAAACCTGATGCTGTGCAGAAGCAATATACCAGCACCTATGAAGAATTTGTACCGTGTTTAATAGTGTGGAGTGCTATCCATTTATCTTTTTTTGCAAGCTAAACACATTTATTAAAGGAATAGAAAGGTACAACTTCTGGTCCTTGTTGTTTCTTTTAATGATGTTTCTCTATGAGACAGTAGACTTATGAATGGAATGAAATACTGTGATAGGGATCAGTGTTGGCTAAAAGACAGTAAGACCAAAATGAATTTTCTATGCTGCCCTCCAGAGAACTCCGTAGTACCTGTTTTCAAGTTGAGCGTTAAAGAAACATTTTTCATACATTACTACCTTGAGTATTTCAGAGCCATCCAACAGAATTTATACTCACGTAGTAACGGAAATTTGACATAATTGAGATACTAGCATCCAAAAAAATAACGACCATTCCTGCCCTCCAGGAAGAATGAGAACGGTATGGCTCCTAAAGGCCAGAAAAACCTGGGGCCTTTAATGGAGCTGTCTATGAGAAGAAGAGCAGGTGATAAACCTAAAAGACGGGACACATTCCAGAATATGAGCACAGCACCTCTTCCAGGTAAGGACGGTTCTGAGCACTGTCAACATGTGAACACAGACCACATTTAAAATGTCAAACAAAAACCATGCTATATGGTCCACCAAGAACACAGAGTTTATAGTGAAATTTATTGTTCTGCTTCCTAATACAATAAGCTACAAGGTACATACAGTATAAAACGAGAACAGCCACAAAGCAAAGGTGATAAACATTCTGTGACGGTACAGTGGAGGTAACGTCTGTCTAATCCTTCCACTTTATCCCACAAACAGCAGCTAAAACTACTGGCCCTCCCCCTCCCTCCCCTCCAAAAATACTAAAAAGTAAACTGTCTCTCTCACTTAGGAGCAGTGGGATTTGTTGGGTTTTTTTGAGGGCACTGGTTATCTGCCAATATCTCAAGAAAATTGCTGAAACTAAAATAACAGAGAAAAACTGTGAAGGTGGGAGTGACAAAACCCATGCAAGATGCTCATGACACCTTGGTTCACTTCTCCTCCGAGCAAATGGCCTGTAAAGAAAGGAAAAGTTTGTTACACCAAGTAAAACAGCAATTAATGTGGTCAGAGTTAGGGTACAGTGAGCAAAATCTGAACTAGACAGGACTAGGCACACAGCTTAGCTACTCTTCTAATGAAAACATAATCTTCCTGTGTATAAAGTTTGGAGATTGATAGCTCACTGTCCTCCTCGTTTTATTTTTAGGTGCTGTACAGGAGGGTGCACACTGACATGGGCACAGCTGACAATTAAACAAGGCTGCAAATCAAATAATCTTGTCTGGGAGAACTCTAACAATGACATGAACTGCAACCTCAACTCTTATAAAAACCCTAAAAAACATCAAGGCTATAAACATTCAGGAAGACTGAATACTGACCTTAAAGGCAAAAAATTCCATTTAACCACTTTATCATATATACTTGGTGCGGTTGAGGGCTCTCTCAGCAAGATGACCACTTTCATCTGTTATCTTCTCCCAATCTGTTTGTCCAACAACAAAACCAATGGCCCTTTTCCTGTCTGCATCTTTTTTTTCTTCTAGATCTGCCCACCGCACCTATGGAGAACATACTATCAGTAGGACAATCTCTTAAGAAATCCTGAGACAAGTCTGGGCTTTCTGCTGCAGATCAAGAGTACAAGAATTGTAATTTGTACTCATTTTCATTCAAACAGGTAAGTATTCATTTGTCTTCCGATGGATAAAGACAGAAACTACAGCAGTTACATTATTTTTAATTGAATATCCCATGTGTTCCATGCAGTAGAAAAAAGGTACAGATGATTAGCCTTTTCCATTTCAATGCTATAATTGAGAGATGAACTGTAATTACTACAATTATTTCTCTGTTCAAAGCAATGCTTTCTGCAAGGAGAATTATAAAAGATTCATTTAGTGTCTTCATTTTCTGTACAACCTTTCAATTGCACAATGGCAACATCTAGAAGACGACTATGAAACTACAGAAAGACAGTGTTAAAGACCAACTCAGCAATGAATCAGGGACAGTTTTCTTCTCTATCTTCTGTGACACATATCTATTTAAATCTTTCCACTATTTCTTTCCACTAAATAACTTCTTCATGCATTTGTTATCTCCCATCTTTACAGCCGCAGTCATCTCCTCTGTGGCCCTTCACAGTCATGCAGATCACTTGCATTCATCCTGTTCAAACATACACAGTCAATCCCTCACCCACAAATCCAGACACCAATGGGAGGGAGTGCAACATGGAAGAGGGAGTGAGGGAGGTGATGATGAAGGGCTACAGTCCAGAAACTCAGCTGGAATACACTGTTGCAGGACAAGAAATAACAGAAAGTGAAGGAGCTCTTCCTTGACATCCTAACTGACTAGTGCCATTCAGGCTGATTTGTTACTTGGAGACAAGGCCTATCCCATTTCTGCCAGCACAGCAATGTCTGCTTTCTTCCACCATCACTTCCTCTGCCTGTGCCTTAGTATCTCCATTTCTCTCATGCGTGCTGTTCAGTACTACCCATGTTTTCTATCTGACATTACAAAACAAAACAAAGCCCAAACACAGACAGTTAACTCAAATTACTTTTAGTGGCAAAAGCTGAACTTTCCATTTTGGAGACAAAAAGTATTACCTCTTCCTATTACCTCTCATCTTCCTCTATGGTATTTTGCCCCTTTTTTTCACAATGGTATGTGAAGATGTAGCATTTTGTGTTCAGAACAGAACTAATTATAAAGTGATTGAAGCCAGCTTCTTATACACCATCTCCTGAGCTTCATGCAAGATATAAGCAGGAGGTAACGTCTGCAAGACTTAATTGATATAAAACCTACATAGCCGATACTTTCCTCAGCTGAATCTTTTTTAACATAAGAACAGTGCGCTGTTTCTCTGCCTACTTATTAGAAAACCTAACAAAAAAGTAGCTTAATAAAATCATCATCTTGTCTTGGAATCTGCACCGTCTATCACACTATCTCATCACAAAACATACAGCGTAAGAAAAGGACTCTGCGGGTTGCTTGGAAACAAAGTGCATTATCTCCCCCAGCAAGAAATGGGACATAATTCCATTCTCAATTCCAAAAGCCATGCCATGCATAGTTAATCTTTATTATCTACAATTCCTCACTTCCTTATAATTAATCTGTTTACCTCTGGAAGACCCTACTCTCAATATTCTCTCACAGAATCTAATGGAAAAGCAAAATAAAAAGTGAGTCAATGGAATTGTCATATTCATAGACACTGTATGACTTGATTCAAACTCTTTATCGCCGAGACCGTTAAATGGTCATATACAGACAGTAAGTCATTTGAAAATTTATTACCCTTTTCTTTCCAGGTTCAGAAGCACGTGTATCATAGTCATCTGGAAGCTGTAGATAATCTTCCATTCTGCTGGCAATTGCTTCCCAGTCACGTTTCCTTTTAGTGCCAGTCCGCAAACCATCCAGCTTGTCTGAGAACAAACACAGAGCCTCAGAGTTAAAGGAGAATATTTTTCTATTATTCACACAAACAAGACGAGAGTGGAAAAATTTTCAAAAGAATGATCAGCAGAACTTGTACATCCAGCTTGTCTTGACAGGTGGAATGATGAGATTGAAATAAACTAGAGAAGACTCAACACCATTTTCAAGTTTTATTGATCTTTCACATTAACTGTGTGGCAATAACACTCAGTCTTTTTATCTGTATGAGGAAGAAAAGTTTGCTCTTCTGGATGTTCATACTATACGGAGTCTTTCCTTACAGGTACAAAATAGCCACCGATAGCTAGGAACCACAGATCCACCTTTCTGTATTTGAACACAATACTAAAGCCATAGCATTTTTCCCAAATTTGGGGTTTAATACTGTGTCAAACATGGCATACATGCAGTATCAGGGAACAAGTGACGATCATATAATTTAACGCATCAAAGACAAGTTTTTGAGATACTGTTTCTGCTGAACAAATAGCTCCTTGGAAACCCTGATTCCCCCCTTTCTTTTCCTCTTCCCACAAGGAAAACACACTCAAAAAATCCTTCAGGACTGGAAAAAAAATAATCTCAGAATCTTTTGTTTCATAGTGTAAGAGGACAGTCATGAATATTTGAGCAGTGCGTTTGTCCAACAGTCATCATTTTCTTCTTTTTCTTATTGAATTGATACGGCATGAGGAGAAACAATTCCATTCCTAGGTTCTAAGATTTTGTTCGTCTTTGGACACTTATTTTTTGTGAAAAAACAACACCTTCTTGAAATTATGTGGCAAACTGCTTTTGGAAAGGAGATGAAGTATTCATTGTAAGGTTATGAACAACAAAGCATGAAAATGAAAAACGGCTTTGCAAGCCAAAGGAAATCCTAGTACTTCTGTCGATGTATGCTACCATTTTATAAGCCAACAATTCAAGTATATGCAGAAGGAATACTAAGCTTGGCAGTTGTATTCTGTAAACCACTTCCAGTGATGTCAGTAACATTGTTTCAGAAGTCACTGATGTAATTAAATTCACTTGCAAAAGGCTTCAGAAATAAATCAAATACAAGGCATCATATTTTCTGGATAGCAAAAGAGGATGTTCAAAGGTATGTATTAAAAGAAGTTCAGTTCAGAGATGAGTTTTTTTACTTAATATGGGAGAGAAAAGAGCAACAACGGAGATAATGTGAGGCAATGGAGATGCAGACATGCTAGTATAATTCAAATGCCATAAACTAATGAAGTAAATTCTCCCTCATACAACTCAAAAATTTTTAGACTCCACCCTTTGCCCCATTTCCCTGCAACAGATACAGAATTGCTTTTAAGAAAACATTTTAATCCCCCTCTGCCTTTTAAAAAAGCCAACATTTAAGAAAACCGTGCAGAATATTTGTATCTGTTACATGATATCTTGTCATACAATTCAGTTAAGGTTCTTCTTTTGCTCTAAGTTAAATCTGTCAAATTTGAAGCTCAATCTCCAAAGACAGGTGGCACTCCTTCTAGAAGACAAAATTGATTTATACAATATTTCTCTGTTACTCCAGCACATAATGCACTGTTCCTCAGTATTACTCTCAGATCAATCAGCGTAGATCATTGTAGCTCAAGGGTTTCCACAAAAAAAAAAAGATGTTGAAAAAGGAGGGCAACAAATGCATTGAGGAGCATTTAGGAACATGACGAACTGAAAATTCAGGAGCTCTCTGTTGGCAATCTGCACACAGACATATTCCTATTGGAAGGCGACGCGCTACGATGCATGCTCATGTCTTTACCAACGTGGAAGAAAGCGTTCAGTCTCCCACTCCCTGCTGCACACAGACCAATCGAAAACAGCGCCAAGAAACGAGTAACTCAAACCTCAAGAGAGGAGATCAGGAGGCGTTCAGAGTATGAGGTTCCCCTATGTCCCTTTTTGTTACTGCTACACAGAATTTATTTCAAAATGTTATCTCCTTCCATGTTTGAAGTTGGATTGCCTTTCCAGAGAGATCTGCTTCCGTCCATACTATCGTGGTTCAAGGTACATGTGCCATGCAGTAGCCACTACAGAAATGTCAAAAGCCTACCACAAAGCATTATTTCAGAATATTCTTTTCTGAAAATGAGACAAAGTGTCATTTTGTAACAATGATGCTCGTGAATATTTATGGCAGATGATTATTTAGTGTTAAACTATCAAACATCATTTTACCATTTCAATTTTAAAAACAATGAAGCAGCAACAGCATTTCTGAAAATAACGTACACTCACCTTTAGAATTTTAACAGCAAAACATCTGAAAGTAACTGACTTAATTACCTCCTTCAAAAACTAAATGAATCATTCAGCTAAATTTTTGCCTTTCTTATACAAAAGCCACAGTTTTATGTAAAATGTTATTTGTGTTCTAGAGCAAATTTTACAATGGTACCAAAACTTCAGCATCGTGGTTTGAGCCAGAGCTCACTTCTCCTTTCCTGAAAGTTTGTAGAACTCATCAATAAGCCGCACTTTGAAACAGAGTATTGTGCTAAACACTTCAAATATAATCAAAATTTAAAAATGTGAGTCCATTTCTGTAAATTTAAATACAAGAATCCGTGTGCAATATGCACTGAGACAGACCAGTGACCAGACTTTAGAATAAAAATGCGGCTGTGCACTCACAACACATAAGGAAATGATATACCACACACATACTCAGAGGAATGCATCACCCCTGCCAAAGTAAATCTGAACTAAAGCAAGAGCTCTGGGGCGTACGGTATGGTGATTGTCACAAGTCGACTAAAGAACTCAAACTTTTCAGACCTTTTCTGAGGCTCATTATAATCAGCAAGATCTTAATGTGCTTTCCTGGAACAACATCTACTCAGAAAGCAAACGAAAAAGCAAAACAAGACTTAAGAGTGTTGTTTTTGGATTCAGCACTTATATCACTTCTGCAAATGTGTGCCCTCTGGGACTAACACAATAAACCTAACGGGCAGGCCAGCTCCCAGGAAATAACTCAACTTTGGAATAACAAATGCATACCACAGTTTACATGCCTTTCAGGAAATAATTGTAATTGGTCAACTCCAACAAAGTCTGTTCGTGAATTAAATATAATAATTCTTACTCACAGACTGCAAGTGCTTATAATCCATACCTTGAGCTAAAAGTTGTCTGCCCTTGCAAAGCAATTTTTCAAAGAAACAGCATTCATTACAGAGGAATGCCTGGCTTTTTTAAAATGTATGTTCTTTCAGAATTTACTTCTCATCTATAGTTCTATATATTTATAAAGATGTATCTAGAGGGTAGTTATGAAAGTAAAATTGTGAATACAGATTTAATAGAAAGACCTTCTCAGCACCTCCATCTGTGTCTTGCAGCATGCTAACATTCAGTTTGTTAATGGAATCCGATTGTTAAAGGATTATTGCAACAGCCTTGCAAGGAACTTACTTTAGCATAAAATTGACTCTGCTGCTCGCTCCCATTACATTTGAGACCATACAAAAATCCTGTGTTTTATATTATGGAGTTTCCACATGGAAAGAAACAACTTAAATATTTTTAGAACACACTTTGGACTCCTGTGATATTTGTAAAATGCACGGGATGATTTAAGGTTCAGCATATGCAGCACAATGCATCTGTTCCTACTACTCAGTATTTAAAGAAGTCTATGTCATTTGGAATACAGCACAATGTATCAGAGCATTCTTCAACAATGCACTTTTCCATATTTCATACATAATTGGGGGAAAATAATTATAAACTTAAGGAATAACCTTAAGATATTAAAACAATCAACTCATAACAAAAACGCAGAGCAATCCCAAATTAATTCTGTCAAACTGCCTAGCTGTCTGATATGCCGCAATCATGAGTATAAGGCTCCTCCAGCTGTACTGTAGGTGCCACAATGTCAATATATTCCACAAATATTAAAATGACTTAAAAAGAGAGCACAGCAGCAGAAGGGATGGTGTTAACTAAGCAGTTAACAGCAAAAGATGAAGGCTAGTTTACGTAAGCCAAAACTTCTAATGCTATTTCTATAGTACAATTGTGATTTTGGTTATTAGAAAGTAATGATACACAGGGCTGCAACACACATGCAGAAGCAGAACCTCAAAATGTTACGACATGGTGCGCCCCCTTCAGATATTTATTACTTCTCATAGACATGACAGAAAATAGCAGTTTTACGCAAATTGCTTTGATAAAATCTTCACTTAGAACCATTACTATTCAGTAAAAAACAAACCAAAACTGGTCATAATGACTAGAAACCCCTTTCCATGTCTACCCCTTCCACCATAGCCGTGGTGCATGCATTTCAGCCTGAAAGTTGCTTTTGGCTTTGACAGAATCCTAATATTAACACTTACATGTAACACAACCAGCAGCACTAACCAGAACAAGTGCAGCAAAAACGGTGCCCTTGTGCTGCTTGAAAGCTCATTTTGCATCCTACTATGAAGAATTCTAGTACTCTCCTGGAACTGAAGAGCGTAACAAACTTTAACTTTTCAATACCTAAGTTGCTGAAAAGATACACCAAGGCCTAATCATTCAGAACGAACTTCAAAGCATGGCACTACTTTGTCCTCACACATGCCAATTTTGGAGAGTGAGAAACATCTTCAATACAGTGAGCTACTAGGCATGTCTCCAAGAAAGTTAAAAGATACTGATGACATTTAGGCTTGAAATAAAGGTATGCAGTATGAACAAGAATGCAGTGCAATGTAAGTCGACTCTTTGCTTTTTATAATATGGAAGAGGTGAATAAAGAATAGAAATACTGCTTTTTTAAAATCTTGAGAGAAAGCACTTTCCTTGAACAGATGGAAGAACAATTAATGAGAATATAAAACAGTGATGGTTAGAAAGTCCTAACTCCCTTGCCTCTGGCAGAAGACAAAGTCCTTTTCTGTACAGATGCTTTTGCAGTTTCAGACACATGTATGAGTTCAATACATTTATTTGTCTTTGGTAAGGAGGCATAGTGAAAATGAAAATTCAGGTTTTGCAAACATCATCAGATACCAACTTTAAGAAACAGGAAAAAATAAATACCCACCTAGCTTTGCCTCAGAAGTGTCCATCTCCCATTTGCTTTTCGGAATGTAACCCTAAATCATACACAGAGAGAAGCTCGGAGGATTAGAGAGAGACACACATGCATATCACTTTTGAACTGGAAACAGCATTATAATGGTAGCTTAAGGTATTTCTTTTTGTAAGGCACAATTCTTGTTATCAGATGAAGGAAACAAATTACTGAGTATTTCAGAACTTCTGCATCCACTTCCCATTCAGTGATTTTAGCAGCCCTTGCAAAGCATTACAAGAGTGCTGCCCTCTGCAAACACAGAACTCCGGAATGAATCTAACAGACAGCAATGGCGCTGTGTGCACTGCTATTGTATTATCCCAGGTGACAAAGTTATTGCAACACAACTTATCAGGCATAAAGAACATTCAAAGCTTTACAAATACAAATGAAAAAGTTACAGTAGTCATAAGCTTTTAAGAATATATTCCCAGATCCACTACACACAAGCTTCACTTAATCCTTTCGAAGGGACATACTAAATTCTTGTATGAGTGGTTAGTCCACAACTAAACAAAATTTCTTTTCTTGGTTTAAATTAGAGTACCTGCTGAATCACTTAGATTTAAGCATAATTTTTCACTTTGAAATAACGCTCTTAGTTCCGTGATTCTTTTAAAATACTTTTCCCCTACAAATAATGTCATCATATGTTTTACATGTAATGATGTTTAGCCAGCTTGTTCCTTGTAAACGAGCGTAACGATACTAAATTTAGCAAAAAGGTATTTATTTCAGATATCTTGTTATCTTTTCATTTTATACTCTTTGACAATTAAATTCTTACTAAGCAACCCCTTATAACTCATTTCAGGTGTTCAGATTTGTTATAAAACTACTTATGTTTCTCTGCAATCGTATAAAAAGCTCAATGTAGTGAAATGGAACCACTGTGCGAATTTCATTATTTTAAGAATGATTTTTAATAGAGAGGGAAAAGAACTACTCTAGAAGATTTCAACAAGAAAACAAACAATCCACAGACCAGTTTTATTACACTAACTTCTTTCCTGCTCTATTTATAGGTTGCCTTCACTGTGGTAAACGTATACATGTATTTGTTAATGTTAAGGGTTACTAAATCAGAGTGTACTATTCCAGAGAGCTGCACTGCTTTTGATTATGTTCAGCATTGCTCTTCCAAAATCCTTCAAAGACCCTTTTTTCTATCAAGCATATATCAGTGACGTGAGATCATCAGATCTCTGTATTTTATTGTTTTTAATCAAGACTGTAGTTAATACAAACTAACACAGTTTGTGCTGCAATATTTCCTGGTAACAAATAAATAAACTTCATGCACGTATGTATATTTATACTTGTAAACCAAGTTGCACATTAAAATTTGCTCAGAAAGTTTACACCACAGCTAGAAGCCTGTATTGAACAAAGTGATGTGTGATACGCTGGTGAGAACACTAAGTTAAATGCATCAATAATTCATACCATCAAGCACAGAAAAGCAAGAATTGTCTAAATGCTACAAACAACCCTATGGGAGTTGATAATAGCAACAAAAGAGTGACTTTGATGGTGTGAAATTGCCTATTGTGTGCTGAATCTGTACAATATCCCGGTCCTCAGATAGGATAAGAAAAGATTCAGACTCCATCCTTTGGTACAAGACAGTTGGATATTTCAGGGACATCTGCCAGATGGCAGAAGCTTCAGACCTCTCTTTTTCCACAGGATTAAATGCAGCAAAATGAACTGAAGAACCCTTACCAACTGCTCTCAAGAAGGCAACAGATACCAAATATAGCGTACTGTTCCACCTTTCTGTCTGACATACCTCTCTTGAGATTAGCCATGTGACTGAATAGCAGAGATTACATACAGCAGATAATTCTTTGCTATTTTTCATCTCTTGTGAATCTGAACAGAAAACATTCTTATATGTAGATTACTTTTAGTTATTAATAATTTGCATTGTTTTCACCACCAAGCTTTCTCCTTGTCTCATAAAGAAAAGGCCTATAGTTACATGTGCTGCACATTAGGACACTCCCCAGAGCCCATGAACACACACACACACACGCGCGCGCGCATTTATGCACAGATGTCTCAAAAGCTAAAGACAACTTTCTCTTCTAGATATAGCTCATTTCCAAGCAATGAGACTAGCAGCCATATTGTTGTAAACATGGATGCGTCTTTGAAATGTTCTAACCACACTTTATGAAGTCTCATACCCTATGCCAAAGAATAATTTAGTGAAGAGAATAAATGAGTCAAGTTGCAAAAAACCAAATGTTTATTAAAATTCACTCTTTCTAAGCTTTAATTTTTTTGTTCGTATTTCAACTGCTTTCTAAACTGTCACTCCTGAGGAATAGTAAATTTCCATCAAGAAAAAGGACTTTGCTTGTCTCAGACGTTTTTTGGTTACTTCCTGTTCATTGGAGTTTAACTGCTTGGTTATGGGAACTAGGGTTTGACACGTTCAACTCGTCAAGCACTGACCAGCTGCAGCTCCAACACATACCAAGAAGTTACAATAGGAAGCCTTCTGTAGCCTTTTAAATACATACCTAAAACCACTTGCCCTCAGGGCAATGCTCTAACCTTCATTTATCCAAGAGACCTAATCCCTCATCCTGGGAATACCTACTGACAAAGTCAGTGAGCCCTGGCAGAGAAAGCATTCTTTTTCATAACTCTTGTCATATATTGTGATAATCGAGAAGAGTTCTTTAGACATATGAAAGCAAATAAGCTAAATTAATCTTCGCCCATTCTTCCCATCCCTCCACTTAGTGTAATTCTTGGATAACCTGGAAGACAGCGCTATAGTGTACTGCAATTTATAAGTGTCAGTAAGAGGCATGTTGCCATACTTCACTGATAATGCTGTTTGTGGCATATACTCACAGATTCTTAAAAAAAAATCAGTTAGGAATAATACGATTTAACATTAAAGTTCTCCTAGAAATGTTTAAGGAACAAACGACTAGAAATGTGTGTATTAAGATCGCATGGCTAAGAATGGCAATGGGTTGGCATTTATAAGATTGTGAATCTCCCTCAGACACGTTAACAAACATTTTGTTAGAGATGGCTGATGTGTCTCCTACCAGTTCACTTTCTTCCTCCTCTGCTGTATCCTTCTTGACTTCTTCTTTCTGGTCTTCAATATTTGCATCAAAATCCTCCATCTCCACCTGTTCCAAAGCACAAGTGCAGACTTACAAGGCACTGCTTGACTTTTACATATTACCTTTTTAGCAGCGTAAGTAGAAGATTCCAAGTTCAAATAGAAAGGGAAAGAAAGGATCCGTCTTGGAAAGTATGATGATGCAATGTATATGACTACTGGCTCCATTTTGGCTTCCCTTGGAAGCAGGTTCCCTTCCAGCTACAGAGTGACAAACTGTGTGGGAAAGTAGCGATTGTTTATTCTCTTCTTTCACATGCATTCTTTGTGCTACCAGTATCTGTAACAGCAAGTTACTACTTCTGCTTCCCACATAATCACATTTCAAAACCTGAAATCTCAGAAAAAGATCTTAAGCTTGCCATTTACACATCACTGGAATGGTGCTCTCTGCATAGGACATCTCTATCAAGCCTTTATGTTTTATATATTGAAATATCATGGTAAAGAATAATAACCACAGAGATTAACATAATAAAATGGACGCTTTAAGACATACATCTAACCCTGCCCATCTAACAGAATACTTTCTGGGGTCTACATCTCTAATGGGGATGCATGTGTGTACTGGGGAATACCTAAAACTCTCAAAGTATGCACAGTTCTTCATACTGTTAGTAAAACCTTGATGCAGATAGAGTGAATCCCAGATCTGCCCTTCTGTGAGCTTATTTGAGAGCTGAGCCCTTTGCTGTCCTCTTAAAGACCACTATTTTCTGATACGAAGAATTTGGACATTCAAAAATAACCTGCTGACCCCATGATGAACCGCAAAGAGTAAACTCTCTTCCTACTTCAGCAGTTCATCGGTTTCTATGGCCATGGCAAGAGCTGTTCTGACACCAGGATGTGGCCATGGTACACTCATGATGACCGTATGATTAACGTACTAATTTATTCCCAGAGCTCCTGAAACATCTGCTAACAAAGAATGCAGTAATACAGAAAGCTGACACACCAAAGATGCATGTTGCAGCTGCCAACAGAATAAAAAGGTAGCATACTTCTACAGCAAGTGTAATCTTCTGCTACATATTATTTGTTTACTTCTTAATTCTCTCCTACAGGTCTGTGTTTCTCAAAGTGGGGATCAAGAGGAGTTCAAATTTGTATATTTACTTATTTATTTTATCAAACTACTTCCTCAAATTAAGATCCAATTAATCTAGTAACCCAAAAAAGTGCTGAATTTCATCTGAGACAGCAAAGATCCTCTTCAATTTGGTACTCAAGAGTTAATAAAGAGCAAAATGGCTTCAACTCTTCCTCAAAGATGTGTAAGTCTGGGCTCCAAAAGGTGATAAAAAGTAACATGTACCTTCATATTTGGGTAGTTGATAAAATAATGGAATGCACTTGTCTGACTCAGCGATTCTGGCTTTCTACAGTGCCAAGTATAACTACTCTGTTGCGATCATACCTTTCTCTGCTTTGTATTTTCAGTGTAGTCACATCTACATAATTTGTAATTTTAACGAGTGCAGAGATTCTCACCTCTTCAATTGCAGCATCCTGCAATAGAGAACGAATGTCCAGGCGCATCATGTGACGTGGTGCTGCCTCCCAGTGATCAGACATCTAGCAAAAAAAAAAAAACCAACCAAAAATGAAGCACCTCTAAAAATATAACGGATTCAATGGAAAATTGGGTTTCTGATCATGAAGACGTATCTGTACTTAAGAAAAGTAATTTCAATCAATCCCATGAAATAACTACCAGCTCTTCTTAGAGGAAAAGTGTAAGCATTATGTAGTCTAAAAGAGGTCAACAGTTTTCCAAGAACAGCAGGCCTGAAAGCACAATGAAACTTATCATTACTGCTATGACTCCAGATGTATACAGTTACCCTGCTGATTTCCTTTAGCTTGCGTCCATGAATATTCCTCTTGGAACACGTCTGGTTATCTGCACTCATTTCAGCTAAGTACACCTAGAAAGAGAAAGACAACATTAAATATTGTAAATCAATTTTTAGAGCTCTTTTTCTGCCTGGTGATACACTCTGCAGTTGTACATTTTAAGAAAGGTAAATTTGTAACTGAAGACCACAGCAGTTTTCCTGGATGTGGGAGGGACTTTGCATTTAAAAGTTTAGAAATACCAGCATACAGGTGCTAGCAAGTTCAAATGCTTTTTAGGCTCCATTACCTCAAAACCCTTGGTTTTTGCAGCACTCCAAAACTGTTCAAAATGTCGCACTCTATCATTGATAGCATCAAGGATAATGAAGGGGAAGAAGCCATCATCCAAGGTCTTTTTGAAAGTTTTAAACATGCTGGTACGATAGGTCTCTTCCATATCAGCTTCATATTCATACTCCATCACCTTTATCAAGGACAAAAGCATTTAAGAAAGAGGACACCTATTAAATTGCTAATGTTCAACTGCTGAATGTCATGACCACAAAGTACCCTGGTATGAGAAAAACATCTTCAAGGTCAAATTTTAAGAATTCGCCCATTCTGCCATTACGTTATATTGACTTGTTTTGAACAATAGCCCACAGACCTCTGCACTATTCCGAAGCCACAAACTGAAATTCTGATTGCCACTGTGTTGTTCCAGAATGTCTTGTTTCTTTGTCAAGATAAGCAACTGATTTAAAAGTACCTTCTTTTTCACTTTTTTCCCAGTATCTGGGTCTCTCTCTTCTTTTTCCACTTCAGTGATAAAATAGTCATCCAGGCTGAGCACTCTTGGTGCAGGTCCTCCACACTCTACTTCCTTATCCTGGGAGGAAAGCAAAAAGAAAACATACACTCTTGCTGTAAAACTTCCATTCTGCTACAGAGGATCTTCAAAATGCTTTTGGCAAACTGCAGTTCCCTGCTCTATATTCAAAACAAGAAGGGAGCAGTATCCCTAATGCTTGCTAATAGTGGAGGGGATTCAGATGCCATACGAAGACATGGAACAGGAAATAACAACAGGCTGAAATTCCAGAAAAACAGAAAGAAAACACCACAGGAAGTGCACATAAAAAACAAGCAGCACTACACAGTTAGTGGTTGTCTACATACCCTGATGAGTTTTGCTACATGTGTCTTTCCACTGCCAGGCAACCCTCTCATTATGATTACAATCTGAAACAAAGATCATGTAAGAAGATAGGATACATTTAACAGAATCTCTTTCACAAAAAAATTTCTTCTAGAAAATTATGTGCTCTGGGCTCGCACTTTTGCATATCATCAAGCAAAGCCAGTACCATGCCTCACTACCTATTTTACAAACCAGGTTGTGAGGAACAGGAGTAGTTCCATGGAAGAGCACATGAAGTTAATGATCCCAGCAGCTCATACTGCATAAGATGTTATAGATCTGGTTCAGATAAAATTAACTGAAACATGTCTAAATGTTTTATAGCCTGAATCTTGTTCTTATTTTACATGGTGCATTGCCAAATCTCCGACTCTGTGTAAAGCCAAGTCTTTCCTCTGATACATCAAAAACCCAAGTGAAGATATCAGAAGAGTCTAAAATACATTAACATTACCCACTAATAGGAATTTCATCTCAGCATTCCCAGAAAGTTTACATCTCCTGTGGACTCCTAATAGTTATGCTACAACTCTCTAGGCTTTTGCAAAGGCACCAAGAGAATTTCTAGAGCTTCCTCAAATGTAGGCTTGTTCCCAACATATTACACTGATGAGCATTTTATCTGAATACAGACCTTGTAGAAACCGATTGTTGCTTTCAGAATGCGTACTCACCCTCTCTGGCCTGCTATCCCGTCCTGGTGGCTTCAAAATATCATCTACATTTTTAGATTCTGGCTTCCTTTCCACTCGTGGAGCAGGTGGTGGCTGACGGGGCATTGATGGAGCAGAAATAGGAATCCTTTCCTCAGGGTAATTTCTACGATCACCTTCAAATTCCAGTGTTTGGACAGAAGAATTTTCTTAGTTCAGTAAAATAAAAAAAATTAAGATGTTCATACCCAGCTGAGCTGATTAAAACAGACCTTCATTATTTTAGGATAAATTAATGGATTTGTCCCCAAAATAATTCAAATTTCTAACCTTGAACCTATTGCAATCAAAGACATTTTTAGCAGAGTATAACTGTTGCATTCCTGATATCATCACCACTGAGAAACAAAACTACATGACACTGCCCGAATAAATTTTCCTGAATTATATATACTGAACAAAGAAATACTGCAAATCAATTAATCTTCTCCCAATTAATCTTCACCTCTGCGAGTCCATATTTTTCACAATATTCTAGCATGGCTTCAAGACTGAGAAACTGTACCTCCAAACATGGAAGGCCCATGATCATATGCTGGACGATCTGTTTTTCGTTCATATGGTGGTCTTTCAAAACCACCTCTCCTGGAGGAAGGATGGTCTTTCTTGTCACGGTAAGATTGAGTCCTTGAAGGTGTAGTAGGAAGAACCCTGCCAAAAGAGTATTTTGCATATTCCTAGAATTTCTACGATGGTTTCCAGAAAGAAATGAACATGTACCTCACAGGCAAAACGGACAGCCTGATACCCAAAGCAGCCTGAACTGTATTGATTTCAATAGTGTTCCAAAACCACGTACCTATCATCTCGGGGATGCCGCTCTTTTTCAAATCTCTCTCGTTCATAGTCCACAGAACCACGGTCTCTGTGCAATTCCCGCTCTCTCTTGAAATCCCGATGATCTGTGTTGGAATTACCTTGACGCTCAAAATAAGGCTCACGATCTCTTTCTCTGTTATAACGGCCAGGGTGCTCTGAAAGTAGAAACCCATGGAAATGCAAACCACTAAAACATACTCTGTTTTTTTTTATTATTTTTGAAGGAAAAACAACAAACAAGAATGCAAGAAAAGTATATAGAAACATACGTGAGGGCTAGAATGAACTTAATCAGCCACTGAATCTCTTCTCCATACTGTAACAGACCATGAAATACCATGAAATCCTACTTAAAGCTACAAAACTGAATTTTTAAAGTGGCTAGGTCATTGACTGCATTACTCATCTTGAAAATATAAACTGTTATTCTTATGGGCCTCTGAAGAAAACAAAGTGGTTCTAGCTTAAACAAGAGTTACTTGATTTAAAATATGCTTTTAGTGCCTTACACCTTTTCTTAAGAGCTAACTAACTGTCTGAGAGCTATCCAAGCGCTCCCTACCTTTTTGAAATGTTTGCCTCTCCGGTAGAGGTTCTGGACGCAGGGTTACCCTCTCCCCATATGGAATCTGTTCCACTTTACTGGTGGTTATATCTGGTTGAAAATAACCAAAAATAATCAAGGTCTTAAAACACCCCTCTTCCATTTCCTTTCCTTTGTCATGAAAAGCAATCAGTCAATGGCATTAAAGTGACTGGAATAACTTAGCAAAATTTCTTTTAATGGATAATGCAAAAAGAGCTATACATAAATACACAACACCATGGATTTGAAAGCCTGAAGTGGGTTTGTGTGTGTGTAAGTATGCATACCACTGTCTTAAGAATGGGACTTCTGCCTTTTCAGATGAGTTCAGGTAGCACCAGTCAGAAGATTATAAACATTAAAATGCTCTGAAAGTTTCAATAACTCATAGAACTAGTGTAGTAGTAGAACTAGGTTAGTAGAACTAGGTTAGTAACTGAAATGCTCACTTTAGATTCCTAACAGTGACAGTTTTTCTAACAGCTTTTAGTAAAACATCTACTTAATGGAATCAATATGGCTTCAATTCATGTTATGGCACCTTAAGAGAGAAAAAACACTCTTTAAATGACAGTGCACAATTTAAGAACTTCTTTACGACATGACTTCACTCCTGTTAAAAACTAAGAATGAGGGAAATTAATTCTATTAAAAAACTAGTGCTGAATTTTAGCTTTGATAAGCTCAATAACACAAATCAGAGCCCTTCCCTGTTTATGTGTTAAATGCCTGTTTAGAGTGCACACCCTTCAGAACTAGAACTTTGTCTCCTGCCCTGTCTAGAGGGTACCTCACACGCATTAAGCAGTATGTAAATAATACAAACACCAGTCACATTCTGCTTTAATTTAAGTCACATCTAATAATTGTAACAATCCAAAGTACTACTTTCTAGCACAGTTATTTCCACACTCAGCTACAAAGGGATTAAGGGAAAGTATCAGTATCAATCTAAATATAACACATTGACGTGATCACATCAGTTGGTGTTTATTAGAAGCAAAAGTGGCTATATACCATTCAGTTCACAAGAAATAGCTCATTATCACAGCATTGAAGGAAACTCAAGGCCAGAGGTTACAGACTCCTTAAATCACAAAGTTCTACAGGTCAACTGCAGAACATCTACGGCATGCTTTGCATGGCACACTCCTTTAGAAAGAAGCTACGAGGACTAAGTTACAGATCAAACAAATACATTGTAATACCCACCTCGCCCGTGGCCATAATCCACAGTTTGCTGAATTACAGGTGCTTTAGGAACCGGTGGAATAACTGGAGGAAGGGACACTGGTACAGCTGACGGAACAGAGGTGTGAATGGGAGGTACTTTCACAGGCGAGGAGACCGGTGGAGGCATCATTGACTCCTGTTTACACAGCTCGTACTCCATATTTGCTCCTTTATCCTCATTTGTGTCCCAGAGTCCGTGGAAAGAATCCTCATCCCAGCGTTCCTGTTCCACAGCAGAAGGTGATGGTTTTAAAGACTGACCATGACTTGGGGTTGTAGTTGGAGTAGAAACTGGAGCATGTGGCCTTGTCATAGGTGTAGTAGGCCTTGTCAGTGGGGCACTTGGTCTTGTCACAGGGGTGGGCTGTCTGAACAACACAGGAGGCTTTATAATAACAGCAGGAGAAGGTTTAATAGCTTGGGCTTCTACTGGTGCCTCTGAAGATAGCTGAGAAGAGACCTAGATGCAGAAAGCACTTTTAATGTAGATCCGTAAACTAACCTTCTCTCATCCTCTGTAAGTCAGTAAGCACAATGGCAATTGGTAATCAAATCATAAGCCATAAGAATTTTCTAGTACCTCCATCTATGTGCTACAGGTAGGAGGACAGTATTTCAAGAACTGGTGGCCTGAATTAATTTGGTGTTTGTTCACTATGTGAAGACTTAAATAGTATTTGTTTTCTCCTTCAAAATAACCTTACCACTTTAAGGTCCAGTAGGCCTATCTCAGTTCAAAAGTGACTACG